AATTTTAAAGAAAATAAAGCCCTTCGTAGCCGCCTCCGCCGCATCGCCCACCTCCCCTCTCCTCGCCCCCTGAATTCAGCTCATCCCTAATCTCTCACTAGTCACAGCACCAGTTCTCCGGCCCTTATCCTTCTCCTCCAGTTTTTGTGTCCGTGGCTATGGTGTCTCCATCAAGTGCTCCATCTGATGCGCAAAAGGCTAAAGATGCTCAAGGTGAATTTGCCTTCAGAGTTGGTGCATTTCTTCAATTTTACTTGCAAGTATAAACCAGGCGTACCTCTATACTTTTGGCGAGATCATCCCTACTTTTGGTTTACACGTCAACGTGTCAATTTTGCATACAAGCTGAACAAGATATCAAAGAGGGATAGGTGGGAACCCCATTTTGTTCCACAACTTAAAATAGTAACCAATAGGTCATACAAAGATTGGTGGAAGAGATTGACTGGTTTATATCATGAACTTTGGAAGAAAAGGGAGAAAGGTAAGGATGAGGAGGTGGAAGAGTTTATGACACAGGCACTATCTAGATGGTATAAGGTTAAACCTTATAAGGAAGAGTATGATGTGATTAGGTTTGTGGGGACGTTTTATAATCATGTAAATGATCCAGAGTATCAGAGAAGTAACGATGAAGAGTGTGATGGTAGAGAGTTGAGGGATTCATTAGCCGATACTGATATTGAAGCAGATTTGGGTCACTTCTTTCCTGATTATTACATGGTTATGTTTGAAATTGTGTGCTGCTGTTTTTACTCCAGATCTATTAATGTTGGTTGCTTGAAGGAGATTTCTAGTTTCTCTTTTAACAGTAATGTATTTTGGAGGACATCTCGCAAGCAGCACATCTTAGGACTCGGTATTCGGGGAGTGTAAAACAGAATCTGAGAAGCATGAGAACCAGCAAAGCTTTGGCGAATTTCGTGGAACCCGTTTTTGATGTATCCCATGCCTTCGCTCATTGGTAACTGAAGAGCTAGCCATTCATACTGCGGAGAAGCTGTGCAATAATTTTCCACCCGCAATGGTTTCAAACTTATCTTTTACCCTATGTTTGGTTTAAGGAATATGAAAGGGAAAAGAAAAGAAAATGAGATGGAAAAAAATGAAAAAAATAAAAAAATCGCATTCGTTAAGTTTTAATGCCAATGTTCCATGTCCCCAAGTTTTAATGCCCATGCTCCATACACACTTATCCATGGATTACATTCGTTAAGTTTTAATGCCCATGTTCCATGTCCCCAAGTGAGAACTCTACTGGTAGCGGAGTGTTGAGATATACCGAAGAAATCTTAGAAAGTGTGTGAAAGCATTCGAATTACTACTATTAACTTGGTATATGGAGAGAGGTTTCTTTGTTTATGATTCTTGACTACATTCAACCAATAACTGACAACTTCATTATCATGTCTAAGTTGAAATTTCAATGCTCATAATTGAGAGATTGTTTTGTTCATGATTTCCGACTACCATCACGGCCAATAATTGAAAGTCTTTGTGTCCTAACAAATTTGGAATTTCATTATTATTATTTAAATGTTGGTTTAAACTCGATTAGTTTGCTCTTGTTCAGGTCATATCTACAACAAACCCAGTAAAATCCAGCAAAAGTAGGGTCTAGGGATGTGTCTTATAGATCTACCCCTACTTGAGAGTAGCAAGAGACCCGCGGCTTGAACACAAAGGTACAGACTGAGCAAACGAAAAGGCACAAACCATAGAATGTGGACATACACACGCTACAGATAAAAGGCAAAAAACACATCATCGTAGACCTTAAATGAATTATGTGAAAGCATATTTAGACTCCATTCTTCGACCTTAGACGAATATTCTTGTTCTTACTTTAAACTAATGTGTTATTGTGCTTCACATTCATTCACAGCACAAACTATGGCCAGTATCAGGGAATGTAATTTGCTCAATTATTTTCTCGTCTTTTGATTTCGGAATGTATTCAATAGTGATCTGCTTCTATTACAGATAGTACTTATTTTAATGCTCAGGTAACTGCAATTTCAGGTAACTATTTAAGTGATTGAGGGAACTTAAGGAATCAGTTACCGTATTTTGCTTCAACTTGCAAACCACCTATGCAGATGTTAGAGTTAAAGCTGCAGGTCCGTACTGGCACTTACTACCTAGTTAACGGCGCATTTAGATGCAAACCCCCCCTTAATTCATACCATTGTACTTTGTTAAACACTTCATCGCGTTGATAGCCGATTCTCCATATCCAACACAAATTGCTCCATTGCCAAGTTTCATCAGTTTCACGGGATTTTTTGACAATTGTTGTTAGTCGATGTTCTCTTCACCTGATCTATTTGACTGGAATAAGTTCTGATCTATAATTTGGTTTGATATAATATGATTGTAGTTATATATGATTGTAGTTATATTTAGGGCCTGTTTGGCATCTGCGTTAAAGATTAGTGTTAGCGTTTTGAATAGACTATCTGATGGTAACCTTTAGCGTTAGCATTTTCAGAGTTAATCTACACCATTAAAATTCTATCCAAAATACTAACGCTAATTGAAACCGCTGTTTCCAAACAAGGCTCTAAAGTGTTTTCTGGTCTGATGTGATTCCGTACATGATTACATTTTTTATCCGGGGGAGTACTTGATAGGTTTATACTTTCTATATTTTATAAAGAAAAAGTTTTGTTGTGATAGAGACAATTGTGTCATTTCCCAATCCAAAAGAAAAAATGGCTAATTTGATTATTAAATTTATCAATGGCCAAAAAATATATTCCCCCTTTAACAATAAACATCCTAGGTACTATTATGACCTCTTGATAGTTTATTTTTATTTGCATATTTTCATCAATCATTTGATAAGATAAAATATTCTAGTCATATTTTGTTTTGTAAAACTTTTGATATAGTTTGGACCGATGTAATTTGCACCTTTTTGTTGAAAGATTGATATACCAATTTGTAAATAATGTAATTTGAAAAACAATGTGATTTTGCACGTTGTTCAAAATGAAAAGTTTATTGTTAGATGGAGGAAGTATATAGTCCAAATATTCAAAGAGTGAATGATACTTTAATTCGAAAAGCAAATAATGGGTCGAATGAAAAAAAATACAGAGTACAAGATACTAAAATTCAATTGTATCAAGGGACAAACTTGTACTCCCAGTCCTTTAAAATGTTTCAACTTTCACTACTTAGGCTCTGTTCCGTTCAACATATTTTTTTGATCTGATCCGATTTTAATAAGTTCTGATCTAATCTGATCTGATTGGATCTGACCTGATCTAATTGGATCTGATCTGATTGAATCTGATCTGATTGGTTCTAATTTGATTGAAAATTGTAATGATAATTCATATTATAATATAACCAATATTTTTTTATGATTATTTTTTAATGAAACAAAATTAATTAACTCATATATTAGAATAATCATTCATATTATAATGTAATAATATTTTTTATTTTATGATTTTTTTAATGAATAATATTGATTTAATATTTTAATAATTAGTTTATATAAACATTAGAATAATTATTTAATTTATATGCACTAAAATGTTATTTAATATAGATAATCAGTGTTGTTTCTAATGTTTATTATTTTTCATTTTTAAGAAAACAATTGTGCTTCACATCATTTATTTTAGTCTACATAAATTATAATCACACAAAAAGTTTCATGTTCTTTCTTCTTATATTTTTTAAATAGAATTAAATTTATTTTCTAAAAGAACCGTATCAAGTGAAACAACTAAAAAATATGGAATTTAAAAAGTAAGGAGTAATAAAGATAATGATAATGATAATAGTAGTAGTAGTAGTAGTAGTAGTAATAATAATAATAATAATAATAATAATAATAACAATGACAACAACAACAACAATAATTCTTATTTGGATCTGATCTGGTCTGATCTGATCTGATTGGATCTGATCTGATCTGATCTGATTAGATCTGATCTGATCTGATTGGTTCTGATCTGATCTGATCTGATTGATTCTGATCTGATCTGATTAGATCTGATCTGATTTTAATAAGATTAAGAAAAAAGCAGAAAAAATAAGTTGAACGGAACGGAGCCTTACTCATTCCATAAAACATTTTAAATTCACCTAAATGGACACAATTTTCCTTACTTTTCTTGAATCTAACCGAACCTACCACAATTATCTTTTACGCTCTATCTATTTTGACATTTTTAGATCTCAACTTGTTTCAATTGATGTCGTTTTGTCTTGATCAAATTTCTATATCTTCTTCTTGCAAAAGTCAAAATCAGAAGAGTTTTTCAGAACGGAGGAAGTATATTCCAACAAAAAAAATTTAAAAGGTGGAGTGCGAGTAGAGTATTTATCAATTGCCTATTGTAAATTATTGCAATTAACCCCTAGATCCATAGTCATTCTAAGTAAGAGAGCTCTTATGACTTATGAGGTTTGATTTTAATGTTTTAGTAATCTCTCTCTCTGCTCGGTGTCTTCAAGAAGGACACGAGCACATCTCCTTTTACCAAATCTATATTGAGTTTGGTAGCAATTGTGGGTTGATTTTGCCATTTTACCTTTTTTGTAAATCTTGTCTAAGAAGTTAATCTTTTTTCAATTATTCCGTTATTCCGATTTGAAAATTTAGAGATGCAAATTTCAGATATCCGAATATTTTTGGATCATATATGGAATGAGTTTTACACTACAAAAAATGCTTGTTACGGATCGGATCGATTCGATTGAACACCCCTAACTCTTACACTATGTTTGGTTCAAAGAATTTGGAAGGAAAAGAAAAGAAAACGATTTTCTATCATTTTCCTCATCAAAATGGGAGGAATCTGGATTTCCCTCCACTTAGTACATTTTGTCTTCTCATTATCTTTTCCTTCAACTTTTCCTTTCTTTTTCCTCTCTAACCAAACAAAAAAAGCTGTTTTCCATTTCGTTTTCTTTTCTTTTCCCTTTCAAATTTCTTGAACCAAACATAGTGTTAGGGACAATTTTGAACCAATGGGCAGGAGGACAAACTTGCTTTATTCTTTATACGCTATTGTCATTTTTGAACCTTTTCGCTTAAATGCTAGAAACGTACCTGGTTTGACACCAAGTGTTTTAAAGACAAGCACGGATAATCTGCGTCACGGACAATGTCTCTCTCTGTATACGTCTATGAATCATTTGGTGTCAAACTATTGGTGTCAAACCTGGTGTGTTTGTAGCACGACTGCTCCATGAGAGCATGGGTTAGTGTGCAGGGTAGAAAGGTGGGGAGGAATCGTCTCTATGGAGTTTCTTCCCATTATGAGTAATCCTCACTTTGTTCATCTTGTCTTCACACCAATGCAATTGCTCTCCATTCACATCTTTCATCCTCAAAACTCTGCTCACCATTTTGAGGTCTATTTGTGCCATCACAATCTCCATTTCTTCATCCCCTTTCAATTTCTTCTTTCTCATGCCACATTTCCCTGATCTCTTCATCTCTTTCAGCTTCCTCTTTTTCTACAAATTTCTCCAAAAAAACATATTAAGTTTATGATAATAAGAAAAAAATGATATTGTACATGTACATTTTACTATATTTTATGATAATTTACATGGTCATGATTGGTAATATAAATGCGTTTTAACTCTTATTTCAGGAATATAAATATAGAATTTTTATTTTGGTATATTTTCTATATTTTTACTCCTACTTTAGTCTTTTTTTCTTAAGAAAGATGACTAGACTAAGTGAATAAGGATAAAATAGAAAATATGAAATCTTATTTTGTTTTAAAAATGAAATCTTTATGTCTATTGTCCCAAAATAAGAGCTCTCATTTTTTTCATCATGACCTCCCCAAAAGTTGACTTGTTTCTTGTTTTGGAAAATTTTATGTGATTCACAATCTTTCTCTCTCATTTGTATCATTTTCAACTACCTAATTTTACTTTTCTCAAACATTATCTCTATCAAATCAATCCAGAAACCTTTTTTGGAGCGAAGGGAGTAATTTATTCCTACATATATTGTTTGTGAGAATTTTTGACATTAGAGAAGGTATCTCGTAGTCTTTACAAAAAAAGAGACATTCAGTAGTATAAACCAAATTTGACACTGCAGATGACAATAATATGTGAATTTGTTCACACAAATGATACACTCATCTATGAAGGCACAATTCATAGATTATATCGTGCGTGTGCAAATTTACGGACGATTGTGATTTGCAGTAGTGTTGCACTTTTTTCTAATTAAATCTAGCATAGGATTAAGCTATTTGTACCCCAAAATTTGCACTCCAATTTGTACACCGCAAGTTTGCACATTCATTTTGCGTCAATGTAAAGCTAGGATGATAGTTCACACAGACACAAAAAGTTAGTTCAAATTTTTGTTAACGTACCATCATTTTGTGTCAGGTTAAACCATCAAATTTTTGTTAATGTACCATCATTCGGCCAAGGTTCCCATGACATTACCGGGCAATGTCATGGGATGATTCGGTGGTGCTCCGGTGCCCCGTTCGTAAAATTAACGGTTCCTACCCCCCTTAACCCTCCGGTAACCCCCCACCCACCCCGCCCTGGCCCAAACACCCCCCAACCCCCTTCAATTGCACCCCACAATTTGATTTTGGAGTCAAATTTTACGAACGGGGCACCACAAAGTTTAACTTCAAAGTCAAAATTAACTTGTGGGATGCAATTGAAGGGGGCGGGGGGTGTGTTCGGGTCGGGGCAGGGTGAGAGGGTTTACCGGGAATTAAGAAGGGTATGAACCGTAAATTTTACGAACGGAACAGCGAAGCGTACACGGATCATTCGATGACATTGCGGGCAATGTCATGGGACCTTAGCCAACCATTATTTTGTGTCTAGCATAATATGGGGGGAGCTTGGGTGAACTTACTTTATTGATATCTTTGTGGAGGCGTAAAAGAAGGATGGGGTCGAGAGGGCACGAGGGGGGTGTGCTTTTCTTGAAAAAAGATGAGAGTATCTTCTTTTTCCCACAATGGCTGTCCTTATCTGCTCTCATGAAATCCATGAATGTCCGGATTGATTCCTCCATTATTTGTATGAATGAATCCGATGGGATCCTCCAACATAATCCTTCCTCCCTTTTCTCCTCTTCTTCCGAATCTAGTAATAATAACATATATATTCACGCTCACATCAAAAGATGATGATGATGATAATTAAATAACACTCTCCTTCAAGTTACATTGAATTTCAATGTTAAAGGATGACCTGGGGATCTACGGTGCTCCGTTTGAAAAATTGATGGTTCTTACAACTCCGATAAACCCTCCACCCGACCCGACCCAAACCGACCCCACCCCCTCCAATTGCACCCCACAAAATTTTGTTGACTTTAGAGTCAAAATTTGACTCCAAAGTCAACCAAATTTTGTGGGGTGCAATTGGAGGGGGTGCGGGGGGGTGGGGGGGTCAGTTTGGGTGGGGAGTGGGGGTTTACCGGGGGAGTTTTGGGGGTTGGAACCATCAATTTTTCGAACAGACCACCGTAAGTGCTCCAGTCGAGGCTCATGTCATAGAATGACATGAGAGACTAATGTCACCCGAACCTCCTCGTAATAATAATAATAATAATAATAATAATAATAATAATAATAATAATAATAATAATAATAATAATAATCTCTCCGTCTTAATTTAAATTATGAATTGTTGTTTACGAGATTTGAACAAATTTTTATAAACTCAATTTATTTGAAAATTAGTGTCGAATTAAAAGATAAAATTTATATTTTTAAAAGTACAACAAGGGATGACAAGATTATATTATTTTATAAAATGAGTAGTGAAAACGGGTAAAAAAAATATGAATAAAATGTGATCATGTGAATTTTAAACGCATGAAACTTAAATTGATGTAGAGGGTGTAGTAATAATCCTTTCAAATAATAATAATTAATAATCATAATACAATATATGGTTATAACAAGACCAAATATTGGTGTCATATTATGAAACCGGCCCCTTATGAGGTCTCGTTAAAAAAACTATGGTTCTTACGGTCTTAAATCTCTATGTCCTTAATCCCCACTCAACCCTATGCCCCCGAATTTTTCTTGCCAATCAGAAAACACGAGGGGTACGGGAGTTGGTGTGGGAACAAGAGTTATGGGTAAGAAGTATTAATTTTTTGAGCGGAATACCCAAATTTTGGCCTTCACTAATCTATCTATTTCTCTCTATTTGGCAAATAAATAACACTAATAAAAAGACTTTTTTACCCCTCAAATATATTCCCACTATTTGTCTATAGAGTGATGCTTACGTGACCTCAAGATCCATATTTAAAATGTAAATCTTCTCACATTTATCATGAGCTTTCATGTAGATATCTTTTTTTGCAAGAGGCCCACTTCTTTTATGTTACAAATACACTAAGGTTCATAAAATGAACAAAGACATTTAGGCCATCTTTAAGAACAACGTTTTCGATTAACGCTAGCGTTTTGGATAGAATTTTAATGGTGTAGATTAATTCTAAAAGCGCTAACGCTAAAGGCTACCGTCGGATAGTCTTTTCAAAACGCTAACGCTAACCTCTAACGCTCATGTCAAACGCGACCAGTGTAAATTAACTTTGAAACTTTGAAAACATTCATACCTCTATATTGAGGCACTTGTAGCAGCTTTGGGGACACCCTTCTCACCCTGGCATAAACCTCAGGCCTCTTCCTTCCACACCCATTATCTTCCTCATATGGTTCATTCTCTATGAACCTCTGTAGCAGAACCAGAAACTGCTGAAATTGTTGCGCCACGTACGCCGGGCATCCGCCACCGCCATCCACATGCCGCCGCCGGAAATGGCTGTAGTTCCAGCAGAGAGCTTCCCATGTCAAGCATATTTGTGCCACGTAGGCTGCCTCCAGTTCATTGTATGAATCCAACAGTTGTTGGTTTTTTGGTGGCCTGAACTTGTAGACTATCCTCTCTGAGATCGATCTTGGGTTGTTTGACTGTTTTGACCTAAGTGAATCTGAAAAACTCCCAAAAAGTATATGTACAATGCTGATTAAATGAACACATGCAGAAATTGTAGGGACTAACACATTTTAAACAAACTTGTTTGTGAATTTGGATTTTTTAATGGTGCATATTAATTTTTAAAATGTTAAAGCTCAACAATCTCCAAAACGCTAAAACTATTGCCAAATGGAATACGTACAATTCCGTCATACTATCACTATGACGATTTTTCGGTGACTAAGACCATGTGTAGTGGGCCGACCTGGTAAAAAATGTCCCGATCTGTTTTTGTCCCGAAACCCGACCTGAAAACACTGGGTTTTAAACAAAGGTTTTGATGATCGAACCCGAAGTTGACCGAACTCGAAATGACCCGCTAAAAATGAGTCAAACCCAACCGAACCCGAACCGCTAAAGTAAGAATTTTTCAAAATCATACACTTTACTACTCGTTTTTAGCGTATAAATTTATATTTTCAGACAAATTTTTAATGATATTGCATAATTATCTTACTTTTTTCCAAAACTTAAACAGTTTTTTAAATTCTTTATATTTATTTATATATCTAAAGTTACTTCAGAATTTAAAATAAAATAATCTAATAGATTTAATAATTTTTTTGATATTTTAAATTTATTAAATAGAAAATGTAAGTGTTAATGTGAATTTAAAAATTTAAAAAACCAAACTCATAACCCGTTGGGTCGACCCGAACCCGATAACACTGGGTCATCAACATACAGTTCTCAACCCGAACCCGAATGGACCCGAACCCAAAATAACCCGAACCCGACCTGATCGACCAATTTGCCAGCTCTAGTGGGCTTTATGCCCTGGCCCTACCGTGAAGCCCCACCCCCCGCCACACCCAAGGCTTTATTTATGAGCAATTACATTTAATCTCTCTCTAATAATTAAAAAATATTGAAAAGTAAATCATGTAAAATAATGAAGAGGACTTTATGCACTACACCATATTACGGTCATGGCACCCTGGCTGCCACATGTGACTACATATGATAAAAGATAGGTAAAAGATAGGGACTATTTTAAATCAAACTAGATGAATTTTAATCGTTAATTGTATTACATTTGTGTTGAATATATTGATAATATGATACTCCGTAGAATAATTTTTTGAAAATTTTATGTAAGATGGATGTGCTAAAATCATTTTGACTAATATGCAATAGAATTTTAAATTTAATTGATTATTAATGTTTGTTTTACTTGATTTGATTAAATCAAAGTTAAAGTTAGCCACCGGCATGGATGAACACCACAAGTAGTTAGTGGTTACTTCACAACTAAGAATTTGAATGAACGAAACTTCAAGTTAAGGGTAAGGGTATATCATGTCTTTATTTTAAGGTATAAAGTAAAAGGTATGACACTATCAAGATATATGGTGCTTTTAGAATTTGCCCAAATTGTCCCTACTCACTATCCATATACTCTCCATCTCTACAAAAAAAATTGTCAGAGTTGATTATTTTGGTTAAATTGTGAGCCACATATTATGGGAAAAGTATATTTAGTTATAATGTAAATTTACTAAAATTAGATTTATTTTAATACGTAATTTTGAAATATCAAATTTTTATGATATTTAATTAATTTTAACCGTGTTTAATTCATTGTCAAAGAGTGTCAGAGTTTGACCAAAAAAATCAAACTATGGCAATCTTTTAGGAACGAAGGGAGTACACAAAAAGAATGTGTTAGAATGTTCCCCCCGGGTTCTGCATCCGGATCCGGAATGCAAAAGGAGGAACTATCAAATTAGATAAAATTCTCAAACGGTCACTGTCGAGAATCAATCCCGAGACTTAAAACTTAACACTCATCTAATACCATCTAAGCTACCCATGGGGTCAAGAAATACAAAATAAAGAGAGGGGTAGGTAATCTCGTCCTCCAATAAGAAAAGAGAATATGTGAATTATCATTTTCATTCTTTTTGGCTTCATCCAAGAGAAGAGAGTCACAATTGATGGGAAAAAAAGAATCACAATTCCAATGATACACGCACTGTCGTTTGGCAACAGTTTCAGCGTCTAGTTTTATTATTTGAAAAATATTATATATCGTCAGCGTTTGGCTAGCTCTTTAATCAGCGTACGTTTTAAAATTTAATCTGCAGTATTAAAAAATTATCTAAAACGCTAATAATAAGTAGGTACCTGTTTCAAGGAGTTTTTGAGCACTAATTCTATCAAAAAACAGCATTTCTTCCTCATACTTTTGGAAGACAGTGTAAGACTCCCACTTGGGGCAACTACTTCTTCTGGAAGATGACGAAAATGGGTCTTCACTAGTGCAAGATGAATCCTTTGTTGTGCTTCTCCATTCATCTGATGAGCTCTTTGATGTTGATCCAACGGTGCAGATTTCCTCCCCACATATTTCACCTCCTTTATTCTTTGGAAAAAAGACATCATTGCCCCTACTTGGGTCGTCATTAACAACACTTTTTACTTCATGATTATTCTCTATCTCTTCACATAGAGCCACCTCACCATCACGATGCAGATGATGGGTATTATGGTAATATTTATCTATGTTGCACGGATTCTTCAAACTGACAGTGCCGTTTACTCTCTCTTCACATAGACCCACGTCATCTTCACGGCGCAGAAGATCGTGATGAGTGCCGTTTACTCTCTCTTCACATAGAGCCACGTCATCATCACGACGCAGATGATCGTGATGAATGACATGGTGGGCGTTGTGGTAATTATCATCTGTGTTGCACGGAATCTTCAAACTCACAGTGTCGTTTGCTCTCCCAGAAACATCCATGTTTGAACGCATAGGGATGTCTGGAGGGCTGAATGACCCTGTATGAAATTCTGAAAACTCGGTGCTATCATTTTCTTCACCCCTCGTCCCCGTTTGAGGACACGTCGTCATTGTCTCCATGCAACAAAGCTTATCATCATACCCGAGAACTCCATCGTCTTCGACTTTCTCGTCTTCTTCGTCGGATGACGCATCGTCGATGAGCTCATCGACGTACGCGCTCCTGTCGAAGAATACGTTGCCTCCAAAAAACCAGAGGATTTTGGCTAGAAAAATGGAGGTGAGGTAGGAGAAGAGGAGGAGAAGTTGAAAGGAGGATGAGGCGTTGTAGAACAAACTAGCAATGGTTTCTTTTGAACATTGCATTTTATTCATACCTCTAATTGAGAGAGAGAGAGTAAAGGGAATGAGTGAGAGGATTCATGTGCAAAGATAAATGTGAGCTTGGATGGATGGATAGATTATGTATTAGCTAAAATAAATAAAAGTTGGTGGTGGGCGTTGCGGGGAGTGCCAAGGGGGTAAAACCCGAGTTTGATTTCTGGCAACTATGATGAGAGACATTTATGGTAAGCATAGAGCCTCTGCAAATATCAGGTAAAGACTTCACTCTTTGTCATCAATTTGCGATTAAATTCTAATTTACCTCCTCTCAGTGATTGTCCGGTTGGATCTGATCGAGGCTCATCTTTTTTTTTAATGGATAAAAGCTCTCTTGCACAAAAGAAAAGTAAAAGCGAAGTCTCGCACTGATAATAAAAGTTTGGTGCTTTTAACGCAGGCAAAATTTCGGCCGTTTGTGGGATTCCATATATGATCTCTCTCAAATGACTTGAATGCCCTTGAAGTGGCTGCTTGAACAACCCACGTTTAAATTAAAATTCATTAATGGCATAGACTCAAATGACTCTCTCAAATGACTTTTTTGTGTTAAAGATGGATAAACTTTAATCCTAAATTAAATAAAAATGATATTAGATATTGATACAAAAAGTTTTATTATATAAAATAATAAAATATTTTAAAAATATTATTTTATCTAATTAATATATAATATATATTTTATTTAATTATAAGTTAAATATTGAAAATGGTTGACTGAAAAAAGTCAAAACTGGACAAATATTCTGAGACGGAAGTAATACTTCATTATTTCACATTACTTTCATCTAGCGATCAGTAAAAAAAATTATCCAAAAAGATAAATCATGATAGGTTGAGATTTTCTCAGGAAAAGATGGAACCTAAGTGGTCCATGAGACTCAACTAATTCATTAATTAATGGCATATACTTCAAGGACCTTGCTACAATTTCTCACATTCACCTCCACCCATCAGCACAAACGATAATCATCTATGAATTACATAGATTATCATCTGTGTAGGTATACAATCACTTCTATTGTCATGCATGGAGGCCGTAGTGGTGAATTTTTAACATTATTCTATACTTCATACTACTTTCGAATTCCATCTCACAAAACATTTAATTTTTATATTGTTCTATGAGTTATCTCTTTTTTTGAATGCCTATAAGTTATCTCTATTTCTAAATAAAATTAAATATTTACTTAGCTTATACGGAGTAATCTCTTTGTTCCACTAAATTTATCCTCTTTCATTTTTTCCAAATTCCCTAAAACACTTCTACTTTCTATTAAAAAATTACTTTTATCTCTATTTTTTCATATCTATCTATCACATCATACTTTTTCACTAATAATCAAACTATCACATCTTACTTTTACCCATCACATCAGGGGCAAAATTGGAAAGTCAACCAAAATTACACTTTCCTTATTTTGGTCCAAAGTCAAAATGAGAATGATTTAATGGAACGGAGAGAGTATTAATTATTACTTTCGTCTTAGAATATTTTTTTAATTCAATTTTTTTAGTCAAACTAAACAAACTTTAGACTTCAATTAAATTAAAATTATAATGTACAATAATGTAAAAATGATTTCATTAGATTTATTTTGTTGAAAACTATTAATTTTTTATTACAATGCTAATATAAATGTTGTAGCAATTAAGAGTAAATGATAACTAAAGTTTATTTAATTTGACTCAAAAAAGTAGAGTGAATGGATAAAGAGAGAGAGAGAGAGATGGAGTATTTAGTCTTGTTAGTTCCATATTATGTTGGCATTATTTTTTGACAAACGAATAGATTTACCGAGAATTATTTTAAATGTTTTATTTAGACTTAGGGCTTGTTCTTTAGAGCTTGAACTCTTAACTTCCAGTTCCTTCCAGTTCTTTCGAGTTTCTTCTAGTTTTTTCCAGTTTCTTTTAATTTCTTAAATTCTTTATACTTTTTGACAAATCACTCTAAAAAATATATTATTATTATTACAACTTTTTTTAATTACAACTTTTATGTGCATAACTATAGTTTATAAATTATTTCATTTTTTTCATCTCACTACTTTTATGATTCACATTAATTCTTCCAGTTTCTTTAACTTTTTAATATGAATAATACCGTTTTTTGTATATTAATCTACATGAAAAATTAGGAAACTATTTAAAAAATTATGGATAAATATTTATATAGAATATTTTTTAATCTAAATTTATATAAGGTAAATTACATTTAAGGCCCTGGAAGAATAATATTATGAAAACTAAGAGAAAACTACATTTTGAAAAAGAAAATGACCCAAGAAGTGTAATATTTATGCTAATTTTATATTCTAATTATTTTTTTAAACTAGCTTTTTATATATGAAAAATAATACTCGTAATATTTTTTATCTTAAAGACAATCATTAAGATAACGTGATTGATGGTCAAGAACCACCGAGAATGAAGAATAATATAAGTTTTAGAGAGAGAGAAAGAGCAAAGTAGGAGTTTATTCGTTTCTAACTTGGATCCATTACAATGAGGGGTCTCACCCCTTTTATAGGGGATACAATACACATAGTCAAAGTTTCTCTGATCGAGGTTCGTCGCCTAGCGGACGTCATCCCTGTTATGCATTGTCCCTTTCATCCCGTCGCTGTCGCGCAGTCAACGTGGCCGGTCGCTATCCGGCAGTCGCTATCACGGTCCCCAGCCGAGCTCGCTACCCGAGCCGAGCCCATAGGGCGAGCCGAGTTCATGGGCCGAGCAGAGAAGATCCTCCACGTGGCTGATGGGTCCCGGATGACGTGTCTTTTGGGGCCGTCCTCCATCATAAGCCCCCCACTCTTCGGGTTTCGTTGCAGTCAGCGATGGGACACAGGAGAGTATGGGCACTGTAGGAAAGCGGCGCGGGGTCGACGCGGAATAGTTGGCAGGTCATTGGTGCTGTTTGGGCTTCGCCATCATGAAGGGGTGCGTCGTTTCGTCTCCCTAGGCCAAGTGGCGGCCTATCATTGCACCCATTCAACCCTTCCTCTATAAATACCCACCCTACTCATCTCATTCCCCACTTTTAGAGAGAGAGAGAGTAAGATTCTTTGCTGTCGTTAGTCTTCCCGCTGCCATCCTTGTCCGTTCTCCGGCTCCGTACTAGGTTAGTCCTCTTCGGCCTTGCTCTTCTATGTCTTCCCAATCCTCAGTCTTTCGTCGGTCCGCGTTCGAACGCGGCGACGAGGGTTCCGTCACAGGCTCTGCCCAAGAAAGCGACTCCCGCTCGGCCTCCGTTGAGGAGATAGTCGAGGCGGTTGAGATCCCTCTTCAGTCCGAGCCTCGCAACCTGAGGCGCACTGCCCTGGAGGACTCGGGGATCCGAGCGCGGAAGTGCACCATCACGGCTGAGGAATTCCGCAAGGCGAAGCGCCTGGCCTCGGCGCCAGGTGTGACCGTGCGTCGTCCCACCCCCGAGCAGTCAGTCTTTGATGCTCTTTCGGGTTTCTTCGTTGTCCACCTCAAATCCCTCGAGTACGGGTTTCGTTTCCCCCTCCATCAGTTGGTCATAGATTTTTTCCAACATTTTGATCTTCTCCCTTGCTAAGTCGTGCCCAAATCCCATTGTTACTTGGCCGGGTTCCTCGTCCGTTGCCAAGGTACCAGGGTTCGCCCCAATCTGGCTCGCTTCCTGTTGCTCTTCCGGTTGGCGAAGTCATCTGGTCGGGCCAACTCCGACTCGGGTTCGTATGCCTCTATCTTCCAGAGGCAGGAGAGGCTTTTCAAGACGAGGAAGGACTCCGCCAAGAGTTGGAAGGGTAAGTTCATCTTCATTTCTCTCTCCTCGGACTCCCCTTTTCGTAAAGAACCCCTCAGTTCCTTTCGGCGCCGCTCCGCGTGTGTCACCTCGAACAAGATGCTCGAAGACATAGAGACGCTCTGCCAAGGGGGGCCCTTCGAAGTCGGCTCGGTGGTGACGAATGAGGCGCTAGCGGAACTCGGCTTCGTCTTCCTATCCCCGGAGGATACCCAGAGGAGCATCGAAGAAGGCCCCTCAGGTCAGTGCACTCTTACGCTCGACCGTCCGTGCGTCGCGACTATTCCGGATTCCCGCTCCTTCTCGCAGCTGTCCTTCCCTCACCACTTGTCTTCTTTGGTTTTGTGCAGGTGAAATCATGCTTTCCAGTGCCGAGCGGATGAAGCTCATGTTCCCGGATGCTCCAAGCGGCAACTCCCAGGCTCCTCCCTCGGGCGGCCGTCCCCCAACTCCCCCCGTGAAGCCGACACCCGAGACGACACTGAAGAAGAAGAGGAAGGAAACGGCCTCGGCCGCCGACGCTTTGCAGGGGTCGGAGTCCCCCATGATGAAGGACTTCGGCCATCCCAAATATGTCAAGGCGGCCTTCCCCGCTCGGGTCTCCTTCCTAGACCGGGATTACAACCCGGAGACCTTCCTGCGCAGCTTTACTCCTCCAACCGATCGTGCCAAGATAAAAGATATCGACCGGGAGACTCTGGCCTCAGATGCCTTCCATGAGTTGGGCTCGGTAAGTTTCCCTTATTACACCTTACAAATATAATTCATCTGTGGTGCTCAACCCTTTGTTCTTTGAAGGCGATGATGCGCATGGTAGGGCTTATGTTGAGATAGCCGGAGTAGGGCTTATGTTGAGATAGCCGACCTCAATGAGGCGTTGAAGGCGGCCAAGGAACAAGCTCTCCAGGCCGAGGAGCGGGTTCAGCAACTCGCGGAGGAGGCTGCTCGCAAGGCGCGCCAGGAGGCTCGCGATCAAGCCGTTGCCGAGTTCCTAGCATCGGATGCATTTCAGGAGGAAGCCTTCACTCGCATGAATGATTTGCTCAAGGCGTGGGGGCAGACTCCTGAGGGTAAGGCATTCGCTCGCTCCGAAGGAACGTCGTGGTACAACCTCGGTCTGTTCCGAGCGCAGCAAGTCCTCTCGGATAGGTTCCTCGCCGGGGGAGGACTTCCCCGAGCCATGCGACAATCCTGATGAGCTCGACACTTCCATCTACTACCCGAATGGCGGGAACTCAGCCGATGAGCAGCCGAGTGCCGAGTGAAATGACTTGAAACTTTGTTGTATTTGATGTACTGCTGCTCAAGACTTTGTTCTTTTTTTTTTGAATTTGGATATGTTATGACTCGATGATTTGTACGGATGTGCTATGCCTCTCTTTTGTGTTTAATCTTACTGCCCTCGTCGTTTCTTTGAACTTGCGAGCTCGCTCCTTCCCCCGCCCAACCTGAGCTCGGCTGTGCCGAACAGAGGGTACCTCGGGGCTTGGTCCCTTTTTGTCTCCTCGTTAACCAAGACAACCTTGGGACCTGGGACCTTTTGACCTGCCGTCAGTAAGACCATCCCCGTGCTGCCACGTGTACCTTCCCTCTATGGCAACATGCCTATATAAGGGGGGGGGGGGGGTTCTCACGATTTGTTCCAATCATATTTGAATTTCTCCAACTCTTGTCATGCCGCGCTCGGCCCCCACTCCCCCCGATTCCAGTGAGATGCGAGGAGAGACGTTTTCCTTTGGTAGCTATTCCCTCGGGGGCTCTTCTGCCATACCGACCAAATCTAGGCCGAGCTTGACCCCGCCGCCCTCTCTACGGGACTCTTGGGACTCGGACTCTGAGTTCGAGTCGGTGCACCCCGATCCTTCTGCCAAGATCCCGGGGTTCATCTACTATTCGTCGGAGGAGGACGAGAGGACACCTTCTCCGTCGGCTCCGCCGGTCCGTCGTGAGGTCGTCGCCCCCCCGGTTCCTGTCGCCCGCGGTGGTCGAGGTCGCCGCCCTCCAGCTCCTCCCGCAGCGATTCCAAGCGAGAGCTCCGTGGCATCCCACCATCCGAGCCGTTGCTCTCCTCAAGACCCAGGCTCGCCCAGCTATGACGAGTCCATCGGGCACTCCGTCACCAGTCGGGCTCCTTCACCTTCTCAGCCCCCACCTTGTCTTTGCGAGCGGGGGTGGAATTGTGGCATGCACTGAAGTCTACCCGTACTTTAATTGCAAGGTGTTTAATTGTTGTAAGGCATTTGTGCCATGTATTTGCCCGTTTTCCGGGATGAATAAAATTTAGATTTGATTAAGTCTTGTTTTCGCTTTTCGCTATTAGCCTTAAGGGCTGCACCTGGATCTTCCCCTGAGAGGGAGTGCCGAGCACGAAGGTTAAGCCTTCGTCCGGGAAGAACATCCGGACTTGGTCTGCGCTCGGCTCTTCCCCTGAGGGGGAGTGCCGAGCACGAAGGTTAGACCTTCGTCCGGGAAGAACATCCGGACATGGTCTACGCTCGGCTCTTCTACTGAGGAGTAGTGCCGAACACGCAGGTTAGGCCTTTATCCGGGAAGAGCATCCGGACATGGCATGTGCTCGGCTCTTCCCCTAAGGGGGAGTGCTGAGCACGAAGGTTAGAATTTCATCCGGGAAGAGTGTCCAAACACGCATGTTGGACCTTTGCAAAAAATTCCATTTCATTGAATTCAATCATGGTGTTGCGGGTTCCCTTTCTCGGGCCCGTGTACATTCGAAATTCATTGATAAAACTTAACCAAGTTCTCAGCATTCCAAGTCCTTGGCACATCCCCTCCACTCGGCATCTGCAGGCGGAACGTTGAGGGGCCTACCACTTCTTTGATGATGTAGGGGCCTTCGTAATTCTTGGCAAACTTTCCACCTTCCAGGGGGCGGCTCACGGACCTATTGCGCAGCACCCACTCTCCTTCGATGAACCCCCGTGCGCGCACACGCCCGTCATGGTAGCTCTTTACCTTCCTTCGGTAATTCTCCGCTCGTATGAAGGCTGCTTCTCGTCTCTCGTGCACGAGATGGAGCTCGGCTGCCAGGGCTTCTTTGTTACACTCGGGGTCGAAGATCTCCTCCCGGTGGGTTGCGATGGAGATCTCTGCAGGAGCCCTCGCCTCGAATTCGTAGCATAAGGCGAAGGGGGTTTCTCCGGCCGCCCTTCTAGGCGTGGTCCGGTAGGTCCATGGGATGTAAGGCAACTCCTCTGCCCACTCCCCTCCGCAGGCCTCCAACTTCCGCTTCAGCCCGTCGACTATCGTTCGGTTGGCGTTCTCGACCTGGCCGTTCGTCTGTGGGTACCCAACCGACGCATAGCTGTGCTTGATCCCCCAGCTCCCAAGGAAGTCGTTAAAGGGCTTGGACTCGAATTGTGTCCCATTATCCGTGATTATGTGCTCGGGAACACCGAAGCGGCAGATGACTTGCTTTGCGAGAAACTTATGGCATTGAGCTCCGGTGATACTTGCAAATGGGGCTGCTTCCACCCACTTAGTGAAATAGTCAATGGCTACGATGACGTACCTCACGTTCCCGGTGCCCCTAGGGAGTGCACCCACGAGATCCAGCCCCCACCGCGCGAACGGGATAGCTATGCTGATGGGGGTGTAGTTGGTTGAAGGCCTCCCTGGTACCTTCTGGAACTCTTGACACACTTTACACTTCTTTACGAACTCCGCGCAATCCTTAACAATTGTTGGCCAAAAATATCCTTAAAGGGTTATCTTTCTTGACACCGCGTACGCTCGTTGGTGGGCGGAGCAGATTCCGGCGTGCACCTCCTCCATGACTTGTTTTTCTTCGGCTGGTCGGAGGCACCTGAGTAGCGTCCCGTTGTATGCTCGCTTGTATAGCTTCTCGCCTTCCAAGGTATACCCCGGTGCCCTTGTCTGGACCAACTTGGCCTTCATCGATTCGTCTGGGAGGGTGCCATCCTTCAAGAAGGCGACTATGTCGTCCGTCCAATCTCTGGGTTGAGCACAGATCAATGCCACGGGGAAAGCGTGGATGCTCGGCTCGGACAGCTCTTCCACATTCGCCATTCGCCTGATGTGCTCGGGCGTGTCTGAGCTCAGCTTCGACAAGATATCCGCCTCGGTGTTCTCCGCCCGAGGGATCTGCTCGACACTATACGCGGTGAAACTTTTAAGTAGTTCTAGGGCCGTATCTCTATATTTTTTCATTCTTTCGTCCTTCGCTTCGAACTCTCCCGACACATGGCCAACCACCAACTTCGAATCACACTTTATCCTTAGCTTCGTCGCGTTCATCCCGGCTGCCAGACGTAAACCGCACAAGAGCGCTTCATACTCCGCCTCATTATTTGATGCCTTGAAGCCGAATCGGATTGAGTAATATGCTCTGAAGCCTTCGGGAGCGATGACTACCACTCCACCCCCCGAGTTTTTGGCGGCGGAGGAGCCGTCGGTGAAAACTGTCCACCAGCCGTCGGCTTCAAGTTCCGGGCTCGGCTCTTCTCAGGCGGTGCATTCTACCACGAAGTCGGCCAGCGCTTGGCCCTTGATCGCTGGCCTTGGCTTGAACTCGATCTGGAAGGCTCCAAAGAACACCGCCCATTTGGACATGCGAGAGGGCGCGTTTGGACTCCTAAGCAACGCACCTATAGGCTGATGGGAAAGTACCTGGACCGGGTGAGCTTGGAAATAGGACGTCAGCCGCTGCACGGTTGAAACCACGGCCAACAGTGTCTTTTCGGCCACCGAGTACCTGAGCTCGGCACCCCTCAGCGTCTTCGCTGTGTAGTACACTGGGTGGTGAGCTCCGCCTTTTTCTCGGACTAGGACTGAGCTTAGTGCATTGGGCGACACTCCCAAGTAAAGATATAAGGTTTCTCCGGGCTCGGGTTTAGCGAGGATCGGCGGAGAGAGGAGATAAGATTTCAGAGACTCAAAGGATTGCTGGCAGTCTTCCGTCCACATGAACCCTCGGGACTTCTTCACAGCTTGGAAGAATGGAGCGGCTCGATCCGCTACCTTGGAAAGGAAGCGGCAGAGCGCAGCCAACTTTCCGGTCAAGCGCTGCACCTCCTTGACATTTCGTGGAGCTTCCATGTCAAGGATGGCGCGCACCTTCTCGGGGTTGGGCTCAATACCGCGCCTGCTCACCATGTGTCCCAAGAACTTACCGCCTTGAACTCCGAACGTGCACTTCTTCGGGTTCCGCCGAAGGTTGTACTTCTCCATAATCTTGAAAACTCCTTCTAAGTCTTCCGCATAGGTGGTTGCCTGCTTGCTTTTCACAATCATGTCGTCGACGTACGCTTCCATGCTCTTCCCGAGGACGGGCGCGAAGAGCTTGCTCACTATCCTAGCGTAGGTTGCCCCGGCGTTCTTGAGTCCAAAAGGCATCACCTTGTAACAATAAACTCCGCCGGGGGTAGTGAAAGACGTCTTCTCTTCGTCTTCAGGGTGCATTCGGATTTGGTGGTACCCGCTGAAGGCGTCCATGAAACTCATGAGCTCGCAACCCGCCGTCTCATCCACCAGCTGGTCGATGTTCGGGAGTGGGAATGGATCCATGGGGCATGCCTTATTTAGGTCGGTGTAGTCCACACACATCCTCCA